TTTAATAATATTTTGAATTTGTGTTTTCCATTTAAGATTTTTGTCAACATGGACTCCTCAGTGTCTTTGTTGTAAAGCTGCAGAGTAGATGAAGCAGTATTTTTTTATTTAGTATTTTTTATAGAGAAATTTATGGCCTTAGTTTTTTTGTGCATTTAATATCATTGCATTTTGCCTACACCATGTGCTAACACTATCAAGATCTGTTTGAAGATTATCATTCATTTCCTTTAAAGTACTTCCAGTAGAAGTTAGGGAAGTGTCGTCTGCGAACATATCAGTTTCTGAGAAGCAAATAGAGCTGTGAATTGCATTTTTTAATAATATTTTGAATTTGTGTTTTCCATTTAAGATTTTTGTCAACATGGACTCCTCAGTGTCTTTGTTGTAAAGGTGCAGAGTAGATGAAGCAGTATTTTTTTATTTAGTATTTTATTTTTATAGAGAAATTTATGGCCTTAGTTTTTTGTGCATTTAATATCATTGCATTTTGCCTACACCATGTGCTAACACTATCAAGATCTGTTTGAAGATTATCATTCATTTCCTTTAAAGTACTTCCAGTAGAAGTTAGGGAAGTGTCGTCTGCGAACATATCAGTAGTTGACTGTTTAACATGAAGATGGATGTCATTAATGTATATCAAAAATAGTAGGGGCTAAAGGACTGAGCCCTGAGGCACTCCTGAGACGACTTCAGCTGGTTCAGATAAAACACCAGACACATTTACTTTTTGTGACCTGTCTGATAGATAAGATCTTATCTAGTTAATAGCATGTGAAGAGAAATTATAGAAAGGTAGTTTTTCTAGAAGAATTTGGTGGTTTCCTAAATCAAAGGCTTTTGATAAGTCTAGAAAAACAGTTACGACAAGTTTGCCGTCATTCAGAGCACTGATCCAATTATCAATTATATTTGTAAGAGCTGTCTCACATGAATGATGTGCCCTGAAACCTGATTGAGCAGTGTAAAGTAAATTGTTTGTTTCTAAATAGAGCTTTAAGTGGTCTGATAAATGTTTTTTCAATTATTTTAGATATAAGGGGAAGTACTGAAATTGGTCTATAATTATTTTGTCTACCTTTGTTCCTTTGACTGGTTAATCAAAATAATGTTAACTAGTACATATAAACACGATTCTGTCCAACTACTTTGAATTACTAAAGAAAGTTACTTTGTTTGTAAAGTACTCAAATGTAAAAAAAATGACTCTATCATGCATTTCATTAAACGAAACATGTAGAATAGAATTATTCCATAAAACGATATTTTTATGTTTGTTTATGGAACTTTGTCTGTTGTCCTTTTATCCAGGGAATTTTTGCCTGTTCACATTTTAAAGATTTTAGATAAATTTGATATCCAAGAATCTGTAAAAACACATTTGTAAGGGAGAGGTGGGATTTTACGTTTTGTAATAAGCATTCAACACTTAACATAACCGACATTAAATTATAATGTCATTGTATATAATAATATGAACCCGATAATATATACGACATCACAAAATCATTTAAAATTGCGAACCTAACACTAAGCTGTAGTCACTAAGCTGTAGTGTGTGAGTTATATGATAAAATTTAGTTAGTTCTACATTTAGACAAATAATTTGGATAACAATTGTGAGCATAAAGATTTAACGGTCTTACATTATACTGGAGACATTTTAATAGACACAACTATGTTCATATATTATTAAGTTTATTAAAACTACGTAGATATTTTTTCTAAAGTGATTATTGCTTAATCCCGATACACTTTCTATGCTACGAATGAAAATTTTAATTGCTTAATATATTTTCTAATTTCTTGCTTTATAAATTTTCTTGTTTTTACGAACAAATTAGATACATTAATTATTCGAAAATCACCAGGAGGAAACTAAAATTGGTCACATTTTGTGAAATTTATCCAATAAATTAGTTCATTACATTTCATTTCACAATTTCAGTGTGTTAAAGAAATACAAAGAAATGAAACTTTTATCTTGGTACACTTTAAATAATATTTATTTCTTGCTATGCTTTTTATACTTATACATGTTAATTGTTTCTACACACATGGAATCTCTTATAAAAAGAATTTACGGAAGAAATAGAAATGTCATTTGCAAAACTTAAAAAGCAAAACTCAAGCAAGGCCTACATTTTGCACCAGTTCAACTAATTAAGTCATTTACGTGTCATTAAACTGCACTTATTGAATAAGCAGCAGTTATATAAAAGAGCGCTAAGTAATTTTCAACTTCATCAATAATCAATATGTTTCTATATTCTACCGACAAATACCGAAAGTTGATATGAAAAAAGTAATAAATCTTCTCATCATATAAAACTATCGTAAAGGAATATTGCATTTTTAAATATTGCTCACATGAAAAGTTGAAGAAAGATTTTAATGTGATAAAATGAAATATATATAATATATTTCATTTTATCACATTAAAATCTTTCTTCAACTTTTCATGTGAGCAATCCATTAAGACAATTATTCACCATGCACTTGAATCAACTGTTTATATCATAATACAATATACTAATGAACTTATCATGAAATAATAAAAATGATAAGTACATAAAATCAAACCTTTAAAGAATTCTTTTCCAGAAGGACAGTTTAAGCAACAACAAAACGATGAAACGTTTCTCTTTGTGATAGATTTTATCTGACGATCTATGAAAATATTTATAGTTGAATATAAATTTGTTTTTTCAAGATGTAGATTTAATGTCAACATTAAAATATAGTTATAAAGCATTAAATGAAAACAATTTTAATACTTTCATCTTTTTATCTTAGTGTCTTTATACTAATAAGTTAAACTCAATCTATTTGTATGTCAGCAAAGAAAACGTATTCAATGCTTATTCAAGAGGAGTTTAAGTACAAATAGGAGAATAGAGAATATTCTAAATTAAAGTAAAACATTTACAATTAAGAATTTTATCTCATCTCATCATGAGTCGGTGCTTATTTGGTTGGAATATATTTGCTTTGATTTGTTTATAAATTGCACAACGTTTTCTTCGTAATCTATATTTTAAGGCAAACTTCTAATTGCACATAAAACATTCCCGAAGTTGTTTAAAATAGATCTGTTATTTGTTTTCATACAATTCTAAATACCATCTGACGCATTAATAGTTTTCTGTCTTGAGTTATTTGGAAATAAAATTAAGAAAACAATATTTGATTTTCTTGTGACTAACATTTTAATTTCTGATTTAAAACATTAGCTGGACTTATTTAAAATTTTAAACCCAATAATTTAAGAAAATTTCCCCAAAATTTTTTTGAAAAAAAGATGAATTTTGGGAAAATGTTGTTTAAAAACACAAATAAATTTTGGAACCCCAACCCCCACCCCCCCCGTAACTAATAAATCCGGAAATTTAATTGGGCGGCAGAAAACCATATATTTTTAATTTCTTTTTGGGTTTTAATTTAGTCTGTTTTATTTGGAGATACAATTCTCAAGTCCACCAAAAGATTTTGCGATATTAGTCTTTTAACCCCTACCGGGTTTGGGGAAAAAACAAAAGATTAAAATGAAAGAAAAAATAACATGAAGTAAGTTTTGGAATTTGTACGGTTTTCAAACAAAAATTGACTGTTTAAACCCCTGAGGGGAAATAAAAATTTGGGAGTGTGAATACAAGAAAGGAAAAAGAATGTTTTAAAACAGAATGTTTGCTTTCAGATAAGAAAAAGACGCATACAATTATTTTGGGGGGTTTTATTTTTCGTGAAGTTGCCCCATATAATATGCTTTTAAAGTTAAAATGCCCGACATTTTATGCTTCTTAGGTTTTGGGAAGGGAAAAAAACCCCGCTGAAAAAATATTTAAAAGTTTGTTTCCCAAAATTGGGGTAATATTGTTAAAAAGAAAGTACAAAATCAATAGGAGGAAAGATTATATCAGTATTTGTCTAACATAATCTAATTAACTTTGTAATAATAAGACTTTTAACATTTCGTAATCCTCTTTGCGGTAATTTTCTGCACCAAATGTAACAAAAGATCATTAGTTAAGGGTCAAAAGATCATGTTTTCATTCAACATCAATTCGCATGATTGTAGTTGACATCTTTGCCATTTTAAACAAAACAAATAAAGATCAGTATCCTAACTTATTTGCTATGAGTCCTAAGAAAATATATCTATATTAGGATAAAAAAATATATTTTATATTAACATAAATTTAATGTATTTTATATAATAAGATTAAAAGTATTGATAAAACATTAGACAATTTATTTCAATTGTTTGATATAACTCATATTATAGTCATAAAAAGTTATAGTTTAAATAATAATGTTTGATCATGTCGTTTTGCGCTTTTTATATCGACAGCTTCTTAAGTGAAGTGTATATACAATTCCGCAAGCAGCGCATTGTGTCACATAAATTGCTATGGTAGAAAAATGTAAGACTGTACGTCTATTCAAAGTAAATAATCAGCAATGAGTAATAAAACGCAGCGTTACGGTCAAAATAGAGAATTATGTTCATTTTAGTGAAGCTGTAAAGTTATTGTTACGCCAATGCTTTGTTATAGGACATTCGCTACTCAATATTATATTGGAAACTACCATTCACAACGAACGTAAAGTAACAGTTTTTATGATTAGAGTTAGATTCATCAACCATTTGAAAATAAATTATTTATGTCCTGCGAAAGTTTGGTTCGTATGCTTAGATGATACAAACGGTTTGTGAAAAACTTAAGTTGTAGAGAGTAAAAGTTTGAAATATTTTTAATTACTTTTAGTGCGGAAATATGTGGTACATTTAATTAAAACTATTTTAAAATGATATACTCGTTTAACTGAAATATACTAAATATATTAATAAAAGTTATACAGTACTCACTACTGTATGGATAAAGTGGCAGCCCTTTTTATTAAAATATTATATCAATTTATATTAAAGCAAATCTTTTCATCTTCAATATTTACTTTAAATAAATATAATATACCAATATTTCTTATCTTTTCAGGAACATGTTCCGACATAGATTCATCCTTTAGTATGCCAACAAACGACTATGTTAGTGTCAAAAAGAGCTTCACCGAATAAGTAATTTCACTATTGTGAGGTATCTACTTTAAATACGTGAATACTAAGTATATGGAAGGAGGCTTTTGCTTAGAACAAAATTCATTGCTGATACCTATTGGATAATACTACTGAAATATAACTGAGAGTTGGGTATAAGTTTGACGATGACTAGTATTTCTGTGTCCAATACTTTATATTCTTGTACCAGTTCTATGACTAAAGAGAAGTGATAATTGTATTTGCAAATGTCTTGATTTAAACGAATTTTTGTTATATTACTTGAGGAATTATGTAAGCTGCTTCCGAACGCTGCGGACTAAGGATTTTTGAAATGGTAAGTTGATTTACTGTCTGTCATTCAATGTTACTAGTTTCGGTTTCTTGATAGAACGATGCAATTTTACATTAGAATTTTTATTTCTTATCAAAATATAATGCATTTTACAAGCATGTGTACACTAAATTTTAAGGTTATTACGTCTTGAAATTATTGTACGTTTGATATCTGAATTCATTTTTATCAATCTCACTCACACATCAAGTTAAATTTGAGACTAGTTTTTATCATTCATATGCATGGTAGCTCTATTATAGCATTTTTATGTTAAAATTTGGGACTTCCTAACCTAGTAGTCCTGGTTGATATCTTCAAATTTTATGCAATCACCGACTCTGACAAGGCGTCTTCGTTCCTGAATTCAAAAAACAAGAGAGTTTAATATAAGCTTTAAGCTTTCTACTCACTCATGAATGCTATTTATGTATTTATGTAAATATGGAAAAAATGAAATAAATATTATTTAAACCAAAAACAAAACAATGGAGTTTTCAACTGTACATAACCATGTTGATTACACTTGACATTAAGCTTTATATAAAATATTAAAACAAATGTGCTTTCTATAAACATTAACGAAATAACAGCAAGAAGAAAGCGACAAAGATTCGAAATAATTAGAATCAGTATTTTACAGCTACCATTCTCCCAAACAGAGCATAGGGGAAGTTTGTTTAATTTTTTTTATTCATTTGATGAATGTTAAGTCTTAAAATATTTGATTCGTTTATTTCCAAAACCGTTTGATATACTAAAACTTACTTGGTATCAATTACACAGATAGAGTTGCACATATTTATAGTTAACCGGAACAAATACTTTAAACGACTATGTTTATATGAAAAACCGTGTGAACCATGTAAAAAAGGCAATGTGCAATAGCTCATGATTAGTGTTTTTGAATACTACATGACTGCATTTAACCCCTTTCACGCTAAATATCTTAACATTATTCTTGACAAAACCATTCAAACATTTTGTGAAAATTTCTAAACATGCACAGACGGAATATTGAAAGGTCTTGGTCGACACTGGCCTATGGGGAGGTTTTGTCTAAGGGTTGATTAGGTTATTTACACAAATAGCAGATGTCTTATTTGTAAGACTTTTACATAATGGTCATCAAAAAAGTAAATGAGGAAAATAATTTGATTTTGTGAAACACTTTGATAATTCAAGGCACGTACGGGAAAGCAAGCTTAGTAACACAAATAACAATTCCATTCAGCTGTATGTAATTCTTTTTTCTTTATCATTGAATAAAATTATATCAACATAATTTTACGTGTGATATCGCGAAGACTAACTGTATATTTTGACAATACACGTATGTACATAACCTGCTAAAATGTTCTGTAATATACTTTATAATTTACTTAAATTTATCAAGACATAGAAAGCGTATATATATAGGCATTTATGAAGTCTTAATGTAGAACAAATGCATGGTAGACAAGTGCATCTTTCTATTTTTGCCGTTTTGGACTTTATAAGGGATTCTTTTTTTTTCTCTATTTAACATCTACACTGTATATAGATTGTGTCTTTATTTTGATTGACTAATTGTGTATAAGTACACCCAAATAAAAATAACTTATATTGGGTATATACCTACCCACTTTTGCATACATGCATTAATTCTGCAGCCTGTGCACCAACATTTACCTTGTTAAAACACATCAGGTATGCGTGGTACGGAATAGGCTCCCACATTTATGTAGACCCTGCAAGTAAGGTCTTATATTTATCAGGGAGCCGTAAATGACGATATGTGATTATTAGTGTGTGTTTGTATTTTATTTGTGGTTGATTTGATTTGTTAAATAATTAAGGTGAAATAGATCCCATAATGTAAGCATCTTTAAGGTCAACGTAATTAACTTATGTATAGGCCGAAGAAATTTAATTGTTGAGACATTTTTAAATGATCTAAATCATTTTGTATGTTATGTAATAAGTAAAGGCATCTATTTTTTTCATTTCCTTTCAGTACGGACAGATACACGTGTGTGTTCGTGAATTAGTGGAGGAGAAATTTGGTGCAGAAGCTTGGAAAACCGTGCTGTAAGTCAGATTGATACCAGTACAGAGCTTGTTTCACTTTCCGAAGTTAATACGTTTTACGAAAACATAAATGTACAATTAATATACATGTAGAATATGATTCTTTAAAGGCCCAGTTATCTCCTGTAATGCCATAATTTTAATTCTTAAAAAAAACCTTCGAATATTTGGTATCTGTTTACAGTTTCTAGAAATTACTCATTGACCATATGAGGATTATCCTTTGCTTTCTTTCGCTCTTTGCAATCGATGTAATTACAGTGATTTAGTATTTTGTATGGAAGCCAAAATACTACTGTGTTTACATTTTCCTACGTTTACGACGCATTTCTGCAAGTATTGCCCTATTGTCTGAGTCGTTTAACGAACTTCATGCTCTTAATCCATTACCAAAGCATTATTAAAAATGTATGACATTTATGTACAATAAGAAAGTATTGATTTCTGAGGCATGATGTGACTTTTAAATCGTTCACCGAACTACCCATTATAATACCAGCTATAATTTTGATTTATAATCAAAATGGAAAATTATTGGACTGATGCCAGATACAGAAATCCAGCTTTTGAAAATCACCTTCAAAAACATTATATGCGTTTCAAAAAAAATATTGAAATAAAAAGTAGGGAAAAAATCTTCAGACAGTGATAAGCGCACCTAAATAAATTGTGTGAAAATAACCAGTTTACAACTTTATAACTTGCTCAATATATAATATCATGTTTATTTTTGAAATTTTAGGGAGAAGTCTGGTTTAGACGAGCATGATCATTTTCTTGTCTTCCATAGATACGAAGATCCTGTAACATTTAAACTCATAGGAGCAGTTTGTGAAACGTTAGGTATTTAGTTTATATAAGATTATTTTAATTCGAGTGTGTTGGAAGCTATAAGCTTATTGATACATGTACACTCTCCTGGAACCAACCAGTACTAAGCAATAAGTGTAAAGTTTCTTGCTCACTAAGGGAACAACGGCTTGCCCCTGACGGGGTTTGAACCCATGCGGCCAGCAATCCTTACATTACTAGTCCGACGCATTAGCCACTCGCCGCCACCCATAACTATTTAAACGTTAGGAATGTGACAAAATATAGTGAAAATGCAGTTAAGTTTTATTGCAAAAATATCATATAACTTTTAAACAAATAGTTCAAAAATAAAATGTCCGTTAATCTAATATTAAGCATAAAGTTTTCTTATATAGTTTTATCACATTTAGACGACTTACTTGCATGTTTGGTATTTTATTTTTGAGTTATGCTTAAGCCGGTGCTATAAGGGGTAGCTTGCAATTAACAGTGCCATCTATGAACAGACTCAATCAACCCTAACCTGTAACATTTTCAATTTAATAGTGTTGCACGACATTCGAGTTTTTATTCTGCCTATTTTGAATAAACGAAGAAAATATGGTTTACTCGTTAAAAGATGTAATTCTTGAAATATGTTAGCATTTGTAGACTAATTTTTGCTTGTTAAATGTAAGTGTAATTTTATTTTCAGGTGTTGAACTACCAGCAGTCCTAGAAATTTTTGGGGACTATTTTCTTCAGTATTGTCTCCGTCATGGATACGATAAGATGTTGAAGACTCTTGGTGGAAATTTTAAATCGTTTATACAGAACTTAGACTCATTACATGCCCTGCTAGCGCTTACCTACAAAAATATCGTTGCACCTTCTTTCAGGTATCGCTCTTACATCATTCTGTAATTTGTGTTGATTGTGCTATAGCCATAAAACATTATATGCTATATAGTATATAGTGGTTGTTCATATAACATCTATTCTTTATATTGACCATTCAGCGTACAAAATGTCAAGGTTCCGACGAGCCCGCTTTAACCGTGTTTCACCGTACAATTTTTATGGAATGCATAAAAATGTGACTTCAATATCTGATTAGCCAGTTAAAGAATAATTACAGACAGAAAAGCATAATAACTGAAATAGGCACTCAAACTTGACATAATTTTTTCACCTTATATTACTGCTACTTAAAATTGTAATTACATTTTCCAGATTGAATAGCGCGATCACCGATCGTCACCTTGGAGCAAAAAGTAATGTAACTGACATTTTTTGAGAAAATCACTTTTTGTCATTATTTGGTTAGAAATACAAACTTTCACCAGTCTCTGAAGTTTAGAAGCTGAATTTTGATAAAAAATGACTTTTTTGGCATAAAAATAAAAAATGTAAGTGCAGCTTCAGAATTTGTTGGTGCAAAAACTACAGTAAGTACACTTACATGAGTTTTTGCGCCAATGTTTATACAGATAAGTTGAAAATAATTTGATGCAAAAAGTATTGTAACTGCATTAAAATATTTCACTACTGCATTATTAAATAGCAAAATTATTTCTAAAATACAAATTTTATATATAAATCTACTTTAGGAAACTAACATTTAAAGAAAATGTTTCATTTTAATTTAACAACAAACAATATAGCTAGGAATATTTCAGTATTCAAATTTTGTTGATATTTTTAAATGATTCAAGTAATATAAGAGCTGTTATTGATTCGGTGGAAAAACAAATTGATGAAAAAATTTTGATGATACACAAATATATTGATAATTACGTACTACTTTTCCATAATTGCTTAAATTCTTTCAGTAAAAACATGGTCTTTTCATAAATGTGTCCTGTTTCAAACAAATGCCTATTGCATTATATTTGCTAACAATTTTTTGTCATCACTGCCATGAAATATGCTTCTGTATATTGTTTTGGTTGAATTTTCATAATTTCTAGACATTAAATTATTAAATCAAAATTATCGATTTTCTAAAATGTGTACTGATCAACAATTATCAACGATACACATCAATATCATTTCTATTGATGACAGCTCTAAGTAATTTTTTTTTTCAATTGTTTACTCAATTATTTATTATAAAAATTAAGAAAAAACTTGCTTAAAAGATTTACATTCTTATTGCATTATATTAGGACAACTGTATTATAAAAATGTAACTGCAATTTCACTGTTTATAGCCCTGGAAAGAAACAGTTGGTAACATTGGTTTATCTTTTCTATTTTAATTTCTATAAAAACATGGCAGACAAAGACATGTAATCTGTTTCAATAATATATTGGTCAAAACCATAATTGCTAGTATGTTAAGTCTAATGTGGTGCATCTACAACTCCCATACATTCATACATATAGAACGGGGTCTATTATCAAAAATTAGAATGACTCAGTTCATTCTCTATGTCGTGCATGTTAAAACACTTTAATTAACAGAAAATCTCAATTTTCAAAGACCCAAACTACATTATGTCACAAAAATTAGTCTGAATTTTTATATAAAATCAAAGCTATTAAACAATGATAGTGATATGGCGTATAAATTGTTTAAAGGTTGGTGGCAGGAAATAAGACAATTTGAACTCAATATATCAAAATTTGAAAAGAAGAAGCAATGAAAACAAAATTATTTATAAAAATTAAAGTCTGTTCATGAGATATAATATAAAAGGATCTCACTGGGATATGTTGGACAAGAAAAGTTTAGGATTCTTAGCAGGTTCATCCAAAATCTCGACTACATCCAACCAAAATGTTCGATTCCTAGTGGTTTTATCCAAAATCTCAAAGTCTACATCCCTGTGATGGTTGGATATTATTGAGACATAGATATTATGATATATAGATCTCTAAATGCCCCTTTTTATAACAAATACATAAATAAACTGTACCATTAGAAAATGACAACAGTAAAAACCATGGTTAATAAGTTGTCACGTACTTCACTTCAGTGTTGTTATGTTTTTTCTGGTCCTCTGTAATCATTGATTCCAGTACTTTTAAGTGTTGAAAATTGAGTACAGCTTAAGTCGGTGCTAGGGGGCGTGAAGGATGTTGCACTTTTCGTTATTGCTCATGTACAGACTTAATCAAGTGAGTCTGCAGTTTTCATGTAATTTTGTTGTGATTAATGCTTACATTTACTTTGAAATTAAAAAAAACTGCTTTGGATTTACTGTTACTGTTTAAAATTAATTTTCAAAATATTCAGTTTTTAAACTTCCTTTCATATGTTTAATGTATTAAATGTGGTTCATAATCCACAATGACCTATTTTAAACAAACCTTACAATTAATTTGTTTGTAATAAACATCTTTCAATGTCTATGCAATGCAGTAACTTCGATACTTAAAATTAAAGTTAGTGCAAAAACTATGGTAAGTGCACTTACATCACTTTTTGCATTTAAAATCACAGTGCAAAAAGTCATGTAAGTGTAGAAGAATGTCTAATTACTTTTTATCCATAAATGAATAATTGTAATGTTTAAAACCAATTTAATAATACTTATTAATGATATTTTAACATTATTGTCTGGAATTAAAAGGCTTTACTCAAAATGAACAAATCAGTTTTTTGTGTCTCCTGTAAAATTTCAAAAATGTCAGTTACAGTACTTTTTGCGCCAAGGTGACGCGATGTGAACTCTAAAATCTTCAAACGTATATTGTTTATATTAGGGACGTTATATTGAAATATATCGGCCATAGCAATTTGCTTTCTCGATTTAATTTAGGATTAGATTACACTGCTATTAAAACAACAATGGTATTTCGATCCGTCTTCAGATCAATAAGATTATGATGTGTAAGAATCATTTATTTGCGTGCAGATACATTAAACAAACAAACGCTGTTTGGAGAATTTGATTTACTCTTAGGATGCCCATGAGACCGTGTCGAGCAAATTTTAATTACAGGACAATTTTCAGGAAAATCACTTCGTTGCTTGCTAATTGGATATTTCTAGGGGTTTATTGTATAACGAAGTTGATTTATATTTGCTTAAGTGTTTTTTACCAACAAATCGAGTGGTTTTCTGCACAATTCTTACTTTTTTCTCTCGACTTTCGAGGAATTCAGAACCGAAACACTAATACACGTAGTCTTGTTCCATTTCAATGTAAATGTCGTATTCTGCTTTAGTCGGTGCTGTGGGGAGATGACGTTAACATGCACTTTCCAGCGCCGTCCGAACAGGCTCAAACAAACCGAGTCTGAAACATTTACAATTTTGTCGTTGTGTGCGTTCTTTAGGGATTCTATTTTTCTCTATTTTGTAACTTAGTCATAACTAGATTAGATCTGAAGTTACATTGGCATTATATATACCTTTGATTGTTTTTACAGTTTTAAAATGTCGTTGTCATATTTATTATTGCAATGTGTTTGAGTGATACAGATGACCGTTCCAGAGCCATGTAAGTAGTAACAAAAGCTATCGTAATAAAAACATAATACAACCTAAATGCCTGATGTTTATCTTTCAGATGTGAAACAAACGAAGACGGAAGTTTGTCATTACATTATTATACAATAAGACCTGGGCTCTATCCAATTGTTTTAGGTAATGCTGAAATTTCTCTTTCTATTTTCTTTCATTACAAAAACAAGACTGTATGTAAATAATCTCTTCTTTGTCGCAAAAGTAAACAAACGAACAGAACATGTCTGAACATGTCTGAACAGAGATCCAATACAAATAGGTAAATTTATCTTAAGAGAAAGAAGTCTACGATAAAAACTTCTCTCTTGTTCACGCAGCTTATTAATCTAAAATTCATTTCGTAGACACTTGAAATCATATCCAATTTTCTTTATATAAGGGACCATATTGATATTACTGTGCATTTGTATTCATAAAAATGCATGAATTTCATGATAAAGATCATTTAAAGAAATAAGAAATTGTTCTTCCCATTTATTTCTCGTTTCGATATTTCCAGGGCTTGTTCGGGCAGTTGCTAGAGACCTGTACAATCAGGAAGCTGAAATCAGCGTCGTTGAAAAATCTCAGGAAGTAATTTCCGGTGGAAAAACACAGGAACACGTTACATTTCGTGTAGTTCTTACGAGACAAGACGATACTAAATCTCTAACAGAATTCAAACCATCATTTCCATCTGAGTTCTCTATAAGTGCTGAACAATTTTGTAATGCTTTTCCATATCATATAATCTTTGATCACAACTTGTCAATCAAGCAATGTGGAATGATGATACAGAGATTATTACGTATACAAATTAATGACCAAGATATGTGTGATATATTTGAGCTAACTCATCCTAGGATGAAAATGTCTGTGATAAATATAAGAATGTTCATCAATGCAGTATTTATGCTCAAGGTCAAAGTGCCTAGCAAAAAGGTACTTAAGAATGGGGATGCACAACATTCGTTGATATTAAAAGGTAATTATCATATTTGACCCTACAATATATATCTTTCACTTCTTGTAAAGGACATTATATAAAGTCAAAACCAAATGTTGCAGACTTTCATATTTTCAGAATAGAATATTCAATGGGCCACAAAAATATGACTTACACTTCATAAATTTATAACCTTTTCTTCTGTGACATATACCGGTATAACCACAAAATTAGACTTGTCATATTAACAAAAGCTAGACTTGTACTTTGCATTAATTGTGCTATAACATAGATATTTGTGAAACATGGAGACTGACACGTTTGGAATGTTGCTTGCGTTAGGACAAACCTGGTATTGTTCACGTCACATTGATGCGTTCCATATAGACAAACACATTTCTGTGAAACAATAAATAACATACATGTAATAAAAGTCGCAATGTTTTACTGGCATGTAATTTAAAAAAATCAAAATGTTACAAAATATCAATATTTTTTTCGACCGAAGACCGTCTGAAAACAGTTTGACTTCCTGTAAAATTAACATGGAAGAACTGAATATAAGCCGAATTTTCAATGGTCATTTTCAAAAGGTATTTTGCTTTTATTTTAGGTCAGATGATGTGGCTTGATGACATTAAACATATGATATTCATTAGTTCTCCACGGTTATCAAGTCTGACAGAGCTGATGGAGATGAATGTTTACCTAGCTGATATTCCACTTTATGATGTCACAAGAGAATTGGTGTTACTTAACCAACAGAGAATTGCAGAAATTGACATTGCGTAAGACTCTTGTCCCATGTCAATGTCAATTGATTTTGGTTTATTTGCACTATATTATACTGTCTAGGTCAATCCGAAGAGACATTCTTAATTTATCATTGGAATAGCATAATTTGATTTCATTTACCTAAACTTGGCATTTAATAAAAGTTTATATCTAACAAAAAGATAATAATATGTGAAGACGTCAGGATTGAAACATTTAATAATTCTAGAAATTAGTTTAAAGATATACTTGTATTATAAATACTTATTATTTCTATAATACCCTTTTTGATAAATATATATTAAAGATAGAATTCAGTTGCAATAAGACATATTCAATAACAAAAACTAAATTTCAATATTTCTGTAATAACAGAATTTAACCTAAAGATAAGATTGTATGTCTTTAGAAATATTTCATTATATTCTATCAACATAAAACTATGAATTATAGGATTTAAGCTGTAAACATATGCTTTAATCTATTAATTCATGCAAACTCTTGATAATTAGTAAAGCAGGAACATAATAATTGTTGTTTTCGTTTAAGTAAGGTATTATTGGAGTACTTAAAAATGGTGATAATATGTTTTAATTTTTAATTTGTTATTTTCTGAATGTATGGAGACTATTATTTATTTTAAATGAACGTGCGATGTCCACGTTATCATCTTTATATTAAATTGGTTTTTATCACATTTCCTTTGTTTGAGAATAGTATGCCTAACTCTTAACCCAAAGCATAAAGTATTGATTGCGTAACAGCATACCTTTTAGTTTATGCGCTACCCTGCTATTATACTGATTATATTTTGCAACGGCCTTTGGTATTATTTTAGAATTCACTTCGAACGACATTTAAATTGTCTTTTATCCTGTTTTAGTAAACGTCTAGATGAAACTACGATAGAATTGAGAAAGACATCAAAAGCTCTAGAAGAGGAAAAGAAGAAGACAGATTCTTTATTATATCAAATGTTACCAGAAAAAGTTGCAATCGAGTTAAAGAATGGAAGACCTGTGGCTGCAGGTACACATTTACAACAAGCATTTTACGTCCAAAAAAGATAGATACACGATATGTAATTATCAGAAAAAGCCCTTAGTCGATTAGTTCCAAACACAAGTAAACTATCACTTTGTCCAAAACATTACATAAAATTTATTTAAAAATAATGATTTCTTCTTTCAATTCAAGATTAAAAGTTATAGGAGCAACATAATAAGATTGGGTTATTAATTCTATGTTTTGTTCCAGTATGCCCGTTCAACTTTTTGCCATGCATTTCGCTCTGGCAGGTGAATCTTTGCTTTGACATCTTTATCTATTAAATTAACTATTTTATCATTGACCTCGTATTTTTTATTTTCTTCTCTTCAGAGAAGTTCGAGCAAGTGACAGTTCTATTTAGTGATATAGTTACGTTCACAAATATAGCCTCTGCATGTCCGGCTATATCAATAGTTCAAATGCTCAATGATCTGTACAATCGATTTGACGCAAAATCTACTGAACATGGGGTATATAAGGTAAACATTTCATTGGACACATTCATCGTTATCTTAATATATTCAGCATATTTATATTGGTATTATAATGAGAGTATGAGTAATGTTCAGGGAACGCACAGAATCCCGGCAATATTAGGGCAACGCAATAACCAAAAGAACACCGACAATCTTTTTGATTTTCTTATATTCTTCAGTTATAATTTATCATGTGTTTGGTTTACTCATAAGATGATAATAACTTTATATGACACATTTCTTGTCCGTTTTAGGTAGAAACTATTGGCGACGCATATATGATTGTAAGCGGGGTACCAATCAAAACAACTACGCATGCGCAACCAGTTGCAAACTTTGCAATGGATATGGTGGCCGAAGCGGCACTGGTCAAATCTCCTGCAACTGGAAAACCACTACAGGTGTGATTTTGTTGTATATGTATTGAAATTGCTTTTGTTGAAATACATTTGTGATTTTGTTCTTCATTTCAACTGGCGTGTATTGGTTTTCTTTTTTGTATTTTTAAAGAAATAAACACTTATTTCAAATAATCCAGTAATCATACATGCGTGTATGGATTCTTTTTTGTATTTTAAAGAAAAAATCCACTTATTTCAAATGATCGAGTGAGTTATTGGCTTATGTATGCGTTCCCCTTGTTCATTAACAAGATTAACCTTAACTGTAATAGATATATTACTTAAAATGACTTTAAGTGTATTTCCTTTTAGATTCGAGTGGGTATCCACACAGGGCCAGTAGTTGCAGGCGTAGTTGGGCAAAAGATGCCGCGTTATTGTTTATTCGGAGACACCGTTAATACGGCTTCACGTATGGAGAGTCACGGTGCTCCTGGGCGTATACATGTCAGTCCAACGACGTTTAAGTAAGTAATCTACTACTTATATAAACATATTTCATATATTTCATTGATATATACATAAAATGGCAGTAGTTGGTTTTATACTGTGAGCAAGAAAAGAAGACGCGCATGATAATGAGAAGAAATAGCGTGCTCTGCTTTTAAGTGAGTGATATTTTTTATAAAAACAACAAGATAAACATTTTATATGAAATAACAAGCTAAATGAAACAGCACTGTACTAGTTATTTTATTTGATTTTTAAATCACTTTTTATTTAATTAAAATCAAACAAAAAAGAAAATTATTCCCTAGCGTATAAGAAATATGTGTTGGGTTCTATTTTTAGGAACATACAAGACTCTAAGGAGTATCTATTTCGTTGCCGTGGCGAAATAGACGTTAAAGGCAAAGGGAAGATGACAACGTTTTTCCTGATCGGTACCAAATTGAAAAGGATAAAGGAACCAGACGATGACTTTAGCTCGCTTCCAATTTGGGGCGACACCGATCCTCTTCCTAGCATAACATTACCTCGAGGATCACGACAAATGTTAGGCGGGAAAAGCAGTACCTGTGTATTATTATAAAATAATATAACATGAAAAAATTTTGAGAAATAATTCAGAACTATAAATTCAGATGCAACGTATACTGAGAGTACAATCTTTAATTTTCCTACAAGCCAAATTATAATGTAACATCATCACTCGGAATTGAAAGTGCCACATATAACAAGTTACATATTTGAATAGTTGATATATATTAATTTGTTACATTACATTCAATTACAGCTTTACTATATTTCAATTTGATTATGTTTTCTCCAGATATAATGCAGTTAAGAATAATTATAATACAAATAAATGATGAATTTTAATCAGATAACACACAACAGATTTATATAATTATCATAGATATATATTTTGTATTATTTTCAAATATAAACCAATGAATTAAGCTTTTTGTGAGTACAAAATCTTTTATAGCAGGAGTTTTATGAATATTCAAAATTGTTTCAATGATATTAAAATGAGTTTCTCAGGCTAAATACTCGATCTGTGGCAAATTTTATTTCTGAAATATTTACCAAACTTGTTATTGCAAATATATTCGATTTAGAAGACAAATACCACAAAACCACATAACATGCCACAACGTTGGTTTGTATAGCACCTAAGTGTTTGTTAATAGGCCATTGTGATAATTTGATATTAAAAAAGATATTTCTTAAGCGATGGGTATAATTATATTGTTATTGCGTATTGATTTAATGTTTCTTCTGTATTTTTTGTTTAACCTTATAAACAGAGCTGGACTCTTTCCTCTTAAATGTGTTAATAAATATATACATTTATATTTTACCTTTGATTTCAATGTAACAAAAGTACATGTTAAAACACTATATTTTTCGAAACGACGTAGCCATCACGCAAGTTATTTCCCTATAAAAGTGTTACTTTGAACGTAGATCTTTCGGTTATAACTGTTGAACTAAAATAGCTATAACGACATAACTAGCTGAAGTATAAAAGAGGACACAATCTGGAAATGAAATACGAACTTTGAGAACTAATAAAACAACACTTTTATTGCAGCCTTTCAAGAATAAATGGATTAAACATGTTATGTCATTTATTATAATACTGCACGTTTGTAAACTCACTTTTCATTGGATAATCGTGCCTTTTGTGTAGTTTTATATACACGGCTGCTGTCAATTTATGAAGAAATCTGACATTTTCTGAAAAAGGATGTTTGCTGTATTATAAATCCGTTATAGATATTCTGCAATATGTACATAGGTAGAACTTGACGCAAATATTATAAGTAATCAAGATTTTTGACAGGTTATATGACCATATATCAACGGTTATTTGCAATACAACCATTGCCTAGCGGCTCGGGTTATATTTCAAACAACAGTTTATATAGGGCCATATAACCTGTGATAAATCTTTATAACTAATTATATTTGCGTCAGGTTATGCCTATGTATATATTTTGTTTATTGGGGCCTTTGATACAGTACCGGCAATTGATTCAAAATGTTTTATTACTCTTACCAATTACCCAATAACGTAAGTTGCACTATTATATTGTACAGGGGAAGTAAAGTTAATAAATATACCCAAGAAAATAACGTTACAAAATGAAATTATCACAATCATCGTGATTCAGTGACTTTAAAATCCTGTGGAATGTAATGAGTAACAAATTATACTGTATAATTAGGCGAATTGTAAGGACGCAGGTTATATTTTCTGCAAAATAACAAATATTCTAGCAATAAAAAATTGTGATATATTCATAACGAAAACGTTTGTAAAAACCAATGATTGTTTGACAGTGTCTGGTTCAAGTAATTTAATTACAATTACATTTGCTCAAATATTATCAAATAGTAACGAAAAATAACCAATCAATCCTAGAATCGTACAACAAAAGAATATAATATATCATACATAAATGGATGGAAGCCTAAGAACAAACTATTAACATGCATACGACATTACATAGTGCGTACTGCCTGTCCATTTAAGTTTTACAAAATGTTCCAGGATAATCGACAAAATTAGTGTCAAAAATCTTCTTACTTTCATAGCTCATTGTGTAAACAAATGGATGGCATATGTCGCAGCAGCATTTCCGTAATATGTCACCAGAAAATGTCATGGGTAGCATGCATTAACAATGAAACTAATACAATTCAGGAAACAGTTGAGCACTTTAATCAAACAATAATAAAAATATGACACATCTATTACTTCAAAATATTCGCATTAAAATAGAATCTGTCGTCTGTTTCAAAATGTACGTGCATGTATGGTTCTCTTGTTTGCTATTTTGTCATACTAGGGCAGAAACGTATTTATTCTACAAATAAGAACTACATGCATGTATAAGACATATTATATTGTAAATATAAAATATTCTACAGGGTTGATAATATGAGTTGTACTCCCACGTGCCGGCAATCAACGTAACTGTAGTTGCTCACTTATGGTTTTTTCAGACACACGTAAACAAAATAGAGAAAAAGGAATCCCTAAAGATCGCCCAAAACGAGAAATTGAAATGTTGCAGGCCTTATTCATAGTACTGGAAAGTGCAAGTGTACCGTCCATGCCCCCTAGCACCAGCTAAGAAGAATTCAATATTTAAACACGAAAATGGTGAAATTTTGAATTTAGAAACATCCACGGATGTGTTCATATTGCGGTTATCATGGAACCTTCAATGTGACACTTTCGTGATATTCCATGAAAAGCGGCGTATTGTCCCCAAGTAAAAGAACGCGATTGCCATATAACAATGGGCGGAACTAAACAAAACAGAATTTTGAAAGGGGGTCTGAGGTTATGAAGCCTGCATATAAAAGATCAGACGTCAAAAGACAAATTTAAAAAGCAGACGGCATATCCTAAGAGTGATTATACAGTATTCAAGTAGGAATACTGGAACAACCCAAGTTGAAAAATGTCAAATAGAAGGAACTTAAATACCACAAACATGTACATACAATAATGTCGTATTAACGATCTTCAATGATCAAAAATATAACATCTTTGCTAAAAAAAATATGTACGGTGTGACTTTTTACGGCGTCCACACGGCAGAAATAACACTGATGTGGCAATAAAATAGAAAAACGAAATCCTACCAAAACAAAAGGGATATTTTCCCCTAGAACACAACGACAATGCCCTATTTATGACGAAAACGTGCAAAACAAAACGTAAGTACGTAAAAACATTGTTGTCGTATGTATGTCTTGAAAATGACCAATTTTTATCAGAAAACGTATAGTTATATATAACAACTTTGATTTTCTGGAATATGGGAGTAGATGTTTTTGGAGATTTCAGTCAAAAGAATACCGATATTAATAAGATTAATTCATATTCCAACTCTCTTTATGCATTTTTACATTGAAAGATTTTCAGGTTCTTATAATCCTTGCGGCTTTTAGGGTGATTTGCAAAAGTGTTCTGAAAAGTTGTATTACGAACAATCAAAACCCTTACCAGAATCTTTTCATTACATTGAATTGAAAGTAAATCCACAATTTACTTATTTTAAGGTTATTATGTGAACAGCAGAAGTCTTATATGTGTCATTAAACTTGTCAAATGAGTAAATGAGCACGAGAATTTGATTTATGTGGAAATACAATTTGAACATTTCCTGATACGTTAGGTGAATCATTTGTCACGCAATTTATGACACGGTTCAATTTGATTTTATAGCAGTCGTATAAATCAACATAATTATTGGAGGTTGGATGAACAAAATAATGAAATGATGAAATATTTTATGTAATGCCATTATTCACCAAAACCCAGCGACAGATGACCACCAACAAGAAGCAGAGCATTGTGACTTTTAAATTATTACAGTTCATGCCAGGAATTACATGTACTCTTGGTCTCTCATAATTTTACCAAAACGTGTCTGTTTGTCTGAGAAAATTGTTTAATAATATTTAGTTTATGTGACGTAGAGAAAATGCTAAAATATGCTAAAATATGTCATTTTGCGTAATGTTAACAAGGCAAATCTAAGATTATATTGTACCAAAAGTCCAATAGACTATTTAAACCAAATAATGTACTATTGCTATGCCTTTCGTCAAAAAACAAAGACATTTATCTGCGTAATTATCGATATATAACAAAACAAATTGTATTGAAAGCATTTTGCTGACTCTATAGAAACCCAAGAGACTCTGGTGAACATAGTTAAATTGCTGGCTCAACTTTCTTGAACACTTTGTCTGTTCTACAGCAGATTTACGACCATGCTTAAAAAAATCAAAAAGCTATGCCGCTTTGAAGTTTTGTGTTGAACAAATCCTTCACACTGCGTTTATACTAAAGGTAAGAGATAAAACTCTAAGCACGTTAAGATATTAATAAAAAAAATTGTTTACTCCTTTCTTTAAAAAATATCATTTCGTGAAATTCTCCGTGGTCAAGATTTCTAGCCTTGCATGTATTATATTTTATGATGGTTTGATGTTCCAGTTTAAATTGATTGTATAAGAAATAAATGTAAATCGGTATTCTATGCCAGTGTTGCAAATTCGCTAAAATGTATCAAATATAAAAATTTATTATATATAATTGAATTGTGATGAAATGTAAATTATTACAAAGACCAAATTATGAGTAAAAATTTGTTTTGAAACCTAGTAAACGAAGAAGAAGAAAACTTGAAATAGTGATCAAGGCAGGAAGAAATAAAACATCTGAGTTGTGTATTTAAGTGTTCATTCCCGACATGCGGACGCTTACTTTCGTTTCTTGCTGTTGTTATCACTGGAGTTGTGCTATTTTCAATAATAGAAATGCAAAAATATCATGGCAAACAATAAATTATTTATTGAATGTTATCTTGTTGGTCTCATTTATTGTTCGAATTGTATATTTAAGGGCTTGTAAGGGCAGAATCAAAAGAATAAAAGAACATCACGTTTTTTTAAAACTGCAGAAAGCAATTTCCTGACCGGAAGCCGCAAAAACATTTTAAACAAATTGTTTCTTTTTAATTTTATTATTAGTGCTAAACGGGTTTAGAATACAATATCATATCGACCATTACGTGAACCTAAAGTTAGAAAAATTATAAATGGTAATATAGTGACGGACCTAATTACAGATCAAAATGTGTCTTAGAGCGAACCATCTCATATATGCAAACATCACTAAAAATGATTTTTTAAAAAAACACACACATCCACAGAAATGAACAGTCTAAAGATACAATAACACTGCCGGGGGTGTTAAACTAATGTCACGTTTAAATGATAAACCTTCAACACAATATAAATAAAAAATACTAAATTAATATTGAAGACCTTAAATCGTTTAAGTATGCCTGTAAAATATAAGTGACACTTCATAAAAAATATATTTGTGTTATAAATGGCTACTTAACATCAAACAAGTATTCCTATCTCATTCAAATATCTAAACGACAGCTGTGACCCTGTCTCTAAATATTTCTTTAATCATATACTTTTACAGAGGGTGTGTAAATGTAACCCAAAGAATAAGAGAGTAGTTCCATAAAATGGATTTATAGTGCTATATGGATTATATACGTATGAGAAGAGACCATGTGTAAATAGATAGGTCTGATTGTTTCATTTTATAACGCATTGCATTTTTATTCACCTTTTAACACGTTAAAATATAAGCAAACTGAAACAAGTGTATAAGTATTTTTGAGTTTCATCATACAGTGTCATATAAATAACGTGTTTTCATAACGATTCACAATACTGAAGATTTAAGAATGGGATTCCCTTATTTATCTTGTGCATATAGCAGACAGGTGTTGTATAGTTATATAGAAGTTTATTAAATTAAACACCGAGCAAACTATAACAGCTACATGATATATTTACAAATATTTTTATTGCAGAAATTTTTAAAAAGACAAAAAAAGAGAAAAAAAAAACATAAAAAAGAGATTTTACTCATGACGACGAAAATTATTCTAAACAAAATGTTTGCCAAAAAAAATCCCAAAGACGTTTTTTTCTAACTAACTAATTTTTTCCCATTTTGGATAACAAAATGAATGACAATCG